CAAGAAGAATTTGCCATCTACTACGACAAAGACCTTGGGCCAGCATTTGGAAGAGATCTTTACATTGAGGCTAAGCCCAATTCCTGCAAATGCTCTGTAGACCTGAATAACTCCTACCAGTGTCCACCTGATGAGGAGTCTCAAACGTTTTTAACAGGAGATGACGAATTTGATGTCGATGAAATGGAAGTATTCGGGTTTGGCGGGAATGAGAAGGTAGAAAACCCCGGCTGGTTGTTGCTGAACAGAGCTTTCAATTTGCTGAAGTCGTGATCTGGCATCTCAGCTGTAACTTTAAAAACAATAGAGTACCTCAGATAGATAGTAATTGCGCTCGCAGAATGCTTCCTGATCTTCGCGCGTGATTGTCGTGTGCGTGCTTCTCATGTCTCCAATCGGTAGCGCTTCAGCGTTTTTCTCAATTCTCGTTCGTCGTCTTCTGTCGACTGATGAGGGCAAAGTTACTTGATGCAAACCGCTGTTCAGGGGTAACGAGGGCTATGGGACTTGAGACTACTTAGACGTCTAGTTATGAGGACTAGTTCTGGGCAAAATTATGTGAATTATTTCTAAAACACGGAATCAATAGTTAGAAAAAAGAAAACGTGAACCCTGTTTCTATTTAAATAGAGTGTTTCTGTCGAGGAACTATCAGTTGATAGTTGCCCCGCGGAAATTTGATGTTCTTAAAACAAATATGCCCGAGAAGCGAAGCTTCGAGGGCAAAAATGCTAGTTTTAAGAACAACAAATTCCCAAGGGTCAACTATCAGACCGATAGTTCCGAGACACAAACACTCTATTGTCTTTATTGTTCACCATCTAAATTTTCTTCCGCGCGCCAGTTCAAAATTCATATTGAATTATTTTCAACTTTTTTAGATGAAAGCCGTGAAAGGTAGTTAGAGCCAAATGAAAAATTTGGAAAAGAAAACAGACAAAAACCCACTTAATACATTTCAATTGTTTACTTTCTGTACGCTCGCTTCTTTATAGAAACATTTACACGGACGAGTACTATCCATCCGGGTATTTTCCTCGGACGGACACTATGGGCTGATAGTGTCTCTCCACGGATGAACACTATCGCGTCCCGTGATCAATTTAAACCAATAAGAATCGGAGAAAATTTACTGGTGAATTATAACGAGTTATAGAAACACGAGTAGAAGTTTGGGAGAACGAGAAATGCTGTGGGAACACGAGCCACAGGCGAGTGTTTCCACAGGTTTTTCCATGCATTAGCTTTGGCTCGTGAAATTTGGCGTCTAAATCGAGGTCGAACTTTTGCCGTTCTATTCGAACAGAACAGCAAGGTCGACCCAAATACAAATCTGTCGATCGTAACTGATTCAGACGTCGAACTTTAAGCGTACTTTCCCAATAGCGACATTAGTTTTGGCTCATATAAAGTTCCACGTTTCAAACAGGCCAAAGGTGCTGTTCTGTAGCACATTTAATTCCTGTTTTTATCCTTTCCAGAATAGAGCGTGGTGAGCGTGAAGTTGAAATTAATTACTTATTCCTTCCCATCTGTGCTAACATTCCGAGACCATCTCCCCCACCCCCAACTGGGAACAGCTTTCTTTCTTTATTATTGCCGGTCATATCTAAGAAAACAATACCAACTCCTACCGGAAGGATAAAGTAAGCAGTTAATTTATATAAGTTTTAGAGCAGTTTTCAACTGAGTGTTGTAAAACCAAAACCAACGTAATCACTCTAGCCAATCACAAAGGACGCAATCCAGTGAATCAATCAAAACTCGAAGTAATGACATGTAGCTAGCTGACGCAAAGCGCGGGAAAACGCCTGCGAGCGAGTCACGATTGGATGAAAAAGTGGCGCAAGTTATTTTCAGCCAATCGTGTAGCGTATTTGATGCAAAACCAATTACTTTTCGACACTCAAATGAAAACCGCTCTATTAACCATATTGCATTTCATTCACTGTTGTAGGGAATCCGGATAACTATATTCGTATACATTTAGTGTTAAGCAATGTGGTTGTTAATCTTGGCCACTAAGTCAGCGCTATAAGCCCTATTTTGAAAACATTTTTCGTCCGTGCGACCGTGTTCCACTATTATTTGGTAGATGTAGATAGTAACCGCCTGTAAATTATCCGACTTTCCCCTTACAATGCAACATGAAAATGGACCCTTTTCATAAGCGGACCCTTTTTCAAAATTCTATGAACACTCCAAAAACATATCTATAGTTAAAGTTTGGGTAACAACCCTTGTAACGGCTCTTTTGTTACTGTAGTTGTACATTATGACTAAAGCTTAAATCTAGCGTATAACCAACCATCACCCTAACCATGTAGACAACTACATAAACAAAATTAATGCAGCTGAATTTATAGATTTGAAGTAACTTGATACTACTACCTTCATTTAAGCTTGCTATCGACAACAAAAGAGACATCGCGTTAGAATCGAAAATTCCAGTAGTGGGAAGCTAGTTCAAAACGAGTTTACACTGGTTCCTATATAACATGTATAAAAGTAGTGCATTATTTAGCTTATCGGTCCCTTCTAAGTTTCCTTGAGCGGTTTGGAAATAAGCTTAAATTAGGGAAGTTCTTTCCGAGTGCATATCTACCAAAAAGCGCCGAGTTCAGTAAATGTTATTCTATTCTTTGATCATAGATTTTTATCCCAGCTGAACAGAATCGTTGCTGAGTACTGACTGCTTTTATTAACTACCTCTAATAGCTACTCAGTGTTGAAAATATAAATAAAATTCAATCCGTGTTGCAAGGCCGATGCTTTGATATATAGACTTATCGACTGATCTCTTTAAAGGTAATCAAGTATTTCGGGTAGACTTGAAAATCGTGGAAAACTACGAAAATATTTGGATTTTGTTCCATGTTGACCACGGAGTCGTAGAGGATCTCAGGTTTCATTGGGTCTATGGCAGGAGGCGTCTTCATTCCTTCCTTTCCAGCAGTGTGTTTCCCGACAAGCACTCTCGCTAGATACATGTAGCAATCACCGTTGGGACGTGGCTGTGAGTATGTATTGGAATAAGAAGCATCTTTTGCAAAATAGACACCATCACCATAAGCCGCACCTACCAGAGGTTCAGATGTTTTAAGTTTAAGGTTAGTAAAAGCTTTTACAACAGAAAAAGTCGAGAACCGGAAACCTGGCGAAAAGTAGTCCATGTGAATCCAAACGAATGAATACAGTATTAAGGGCACTTTTTAACTAGTTCCAAAAATGCTAGCGTTAACTCTATAGTAGCAGTTTGCATAAGACTTGTGATATTTCAAGCTAGTTATACGGCTCAGTGATAATACATCCGATCAATATGACGTGGGAAAAAGGTGCGCCTTCTGTTGCATAGGAAAACACCGAGAGACTCGCGTTACCGGCTAAAGTCTCGGAACTTAGACAAGTTCAGCTCAATCTCGTTACCCGGGTTTGAGTTAAGCTATAAGAAAACGTGGCATACACAAGCGCAGTAACATCGGAGTAGATATGGTGACGACAGCTTCAAGGCTGCGAACAAGGAGAATCACTGGGAGTGTGCTTGTGATTGACTCACGTCGGATCATACACGAGTTTCTGCTTACGCTCGTGATTAAGCCTGTGTTTATCACACAGGTGTGATATTTAATATTTTCACTGGGCATTGATGGGGGTACGTACCGTTCATTCCGCACAAACTCCTGTTAAATCCCTGCACATTGATGGATTTCACACTGTCAGGATTCGTTCCATGGAACAGTTGCAGTTCGTTTTCAAGAGTCCCGTTCTTTTCATCCATGGTCTGTTTCCTCAGCATGTATGAATTAAACATCGATGGGTTTTGAATTCTCTCAATGTTTTTGATGGAAGCCTTCCCTCGCATTGATTGATGGAACATCTTTTGAACCGCTTTATATTCCTGGGTATCCGGTGCAAGGCTAACCAAATGAAGAACCTCCTCTTTTCCACTTTCGTCACGAGGCTGTGGATCCCATTCAGCAGGAAGAGGTAACACTGTTTTAAATTAATAACGAGAAAGCTGTTATCATCCACAGGTCCTTTCGAAAGAGTAGTCAGTAGTTATAACAGGAAATGATGGTGTTAAAATGTAAGAAGCGCGGAAATTCACGTTATCAGTACAACGCTCGAGACGACATGCAGTCGGTGAAAAGCATGGGAAGGCATATGTAACCGATGGTACACTCGACCTCGAAAAAGTTGCTCCAGGGAAATCTAATTTCAGCTTTGTGACATAAAATGATAGGATGTCATTTCATCCTCAATTTGTGCCACAATGTGAGAGATTACAGAGATTAGCCATTCAAAGAAATAGAATGAATAGAAATAAATAATTGGCAGTTGGCGTCACTCACAGTATTTTGAAAATTTTAATTTAAAAATAGTATATCACCCAAAGGCTTCCCAAAATTGTCGACGCTGACACATAAATCAACCGTTATCTTACTAAGTTTGGCATAAGAAAGGAAATCAAGGAGAAAAAGCCGGACTTTATGTGGGCATTACGTTATGACAGCGAAAACTATGTGTTTTTGTATCCTTTATATTATTAGTAAATAATCTGTAATTGAAAAGTGTACTCCCCGCCTAGTTCTTACCATCTTTACGAAGGACCCTTTTGATAGCTCCCGTTCTTAAGAACGTGACCTCTTTGTTCCCAAAGTTGATTTCAGCCTTCAGGTTTTGATGTGTGAATAAAAGCGATGGTTTCTTCGCTTTATAGGCTGATTCTATATCATTGTTGACTATTTTATCAAAGAGGTCGAGTTTTCCAGCTGGATTAACCAAATACCACTGAACAGTTTTGGAAATTTGATCCGCACGCTCCTCTTTGTGCTCTCTTCCCATCTGTTCCTGGATGGCATTTGATACCTCTGAGTTCATGTCCATCACATCTTTGGGAAGCCCTTCCAACGTAACAGTATCTGGCTCTGGTTGGTCAAATTTCACGTCTTGAGCACGCGACATTCGCTTCAGTTCCCGTATGCAACGTCTTGGAAAACGACTTATGATTTCGTGTTTGATGACACGTGGTTTGTTGCAGGCACTGGCGACGCCATCCTTTAAGGCAGCCATAGCTGCGTCAAGTGACTCTACCCGCCCATGCACAATGACTTTTCTATGACAATGCTTCTTCGCTAACTCATCGGCTAAAGCTTCTGAGCCCTGTTGACCATGGTCATCGTCAACGTTAACGTCGTCGTCGTCTTCACGCTGGCATGAGTCCAAATTTTCTTGCTGGATTCCTTCTAACTCGACCACAAACGCACCAATGAAAGAATGGTCAAAGACTACAACTCGTATCTCACGTAGTGAACTGAATGGCCTCCTGGTCAGAAGTGCGCGGATTGCTCCGAAAACCACCTTTGCCGAGTCTTCAGCTGTTCGTCCCAGTCCACCACTACCAACCGCTGGAATGGACACTGACACCAAGCCCAAGGAATCGACTTCTTTAAGAGCTTTCTCCACGCATGTTTGAAGATGCTGTTTTGTTCCAGATCCCACAACCATATGCACGATCTGTTTTGCAGACAAGCGCCCAGCAGTGGTGGTCACAACAGATCCTGGAAGTCGGGGAGCTTTCGACTTCAACTCATCTTCGACTGTGCTGCCACAGGCTGTAGAAATGACCTTGCTTAAATTTCCGCTGTTCATGTCAAGATCTTGTGTAACTACATTGCAGATTGCATCGGAGCTTTCCTGGGTTATGTCTCCTCTCACGACCTGCACCTTGATGTTTTCAATGTGAACGGCTTTGCATCTGAAATCGTGTACAACTGGAATTGGTTTGTTCTTACGAGCTTCTCGCTTTCGAGGTCTTGGCACTGGCTTATGTTTCTTCTTGAAGTCTGCAAACTTCTCTTCGAAAGTTGTAATTCCTTTCTGATCACCACTGAACACAATAAATCGAAACTCCTCTAAGGGTGACTCTGGATTTGCCTGACTGTAATCAACAGCTGCCTGAATCATAATGTGGACGGCAGTTTTATACGGGAAACCAAGGTTACCAGTCCCTACAAGTGGTAAAGCAATTGAGCAAGCACCCAATTCGGATGCCTTGTCAAAGCACTTCCTAAACAGTTCACTTAGAATCTGTGAATGAAAACAAAAGAAATGGCATTAAGGAGTAACCCTTGATATTTATCTACCAAGCTCCAGACTGCTTCCCAACCAGCCGTTTCTAGTAGGTAATCTAAGGGTGTGTTCATTTGGGATCATTCATCCGGATCAGGATCAATGATCGAGATCACTCTGATCACGCTGCATTAATCGAACCGACGAATCCTTCCCCAGAGATGATTCGTCGGTTCCGTCGATATAACATAATCCGAGTGATCTCGCATTTGCATCATTGATCCTGATCCCGGGATGATCCCAAAGGAACGCACTTTACGTCTCGGAATAGTCTCACTGTGGCTAATGCTGGAGTCCATGTCATTGTTAAAAACAACCGTGCCATTTAGAAGAGCCACGCTAAAACTAAAACTAAAACTAAAACTGCAACCAAGAAGATGCGATGCTAGCAATAAAATGACCTCATTTAGCAGGAGACTATCCTTATCCTGACCTCTTCTTGCTCAGAATCTCCTTTCCATGGGCAACATACACAGTGAATAACGTAACGGCAGGGCAAGTTTCCGGGACCCGTGTGAACAACGTCTCCTTCACCCATGTCAGCTGTCGTCACTTTCCTTAACTCTTCCTGTAACGCTGGACCAGCAGCTTTGTTCATGGCATTTGCAATCGCACCAATGTTAAGATTGAACTTTGACCCCACAGAACACACTAAAACGTCAGCCTAGAGCGACATTAAAAGAGACAACACAAAGTTGATTATTAACTTGAAAATGACGAAAAGAAAAGCTGATGCTTCTATCTTTCGCCTTTCATCGGAACAAATGTGTTTTACTTGCCCAACGAAACAGCACCTCAGTTTTTGTTTAGAGAAATGAATCTCTGTATCCTTATATCACAGTTACGTAAATTAGATTTAAAAGTGTCAGTATGCGAATATATGGCTACCAGCAATGGCAAGTAAATAACAGCCTTCATTTTGGGACTAACGAAGCATGATAAATGGACAGGTGGTAAGCAACATGCGAAGTATTCACGACAATGACCCTTCGTCCAGTTGACACAGCAGGCCAAGGATCTTAGAAGACTTGTACTAATCAATTATTTTAGCAATGCCCATCCTCCCCTGGCTTTAGTTGGGCAATTGCTCTCGTTCGTAATCCCAGGGACGGGAGTTTTGACACCTATTAGCTTTTACATCAAAACACTCCTGACTTCTTTTACAGTTATCAAACAAAATGTGATGCATGGCCATCTAGTACGATGGAGGTCATCATGAGATGGTTACTTCACAGATTAAAACGATCGGTTAGATCTTGCAGTATTGTTGAACATTTGACCAGCTAACCCAGCTTAATTTACATGCCTTTTTATTTGTTTCACAAACTGCTAATGCCAGTGGCTGCACAGGGGCCGATGGGCATTGTGATTTCGAGTGATAAATGCATCGCAACAAACCTGTTCTTCTTCGATATTCCCAGTCCTCCAGATCATCTTTTTCCACTCCGAGGTGAAAAAGGTGTCGTCTTCATCGAGTTCCTTCTCGCCATCACTACTGTTGCTGAATGACTCATCACCGTCACTTTCGTCGTCTTCAGTTTGTTCCTCGGTTTCTGTTGTTATCTCAATAACACATTTGCAATCTCGTTCCACAGTTTCAATTAACCGTTTTCCTTCATCCTGGGCTAAGAAGGTTCGCATGCCAGGGGTGGAAATGGCGAAACTCTTCTCCTTTATTTCGTCTTGTAGAGCGTACATCTTCTCCTCAACATCTCTGACGCCCTCTTCAGTTCCTGAAAATCTGATTAAGCCCTTACTTTCATCCAAAGAAATCTTGACTCCATAGTGTGTAAGTTCTTCTTCGATTCCATGAAGGTCGTCTTTGTAATAATCGTTGAAGAACGTTCGATGAATCGACGAATCGAGTCGGAACTGGCCTTCTGTTGCTTTCTTCTCGTTGAGAAAATCTCTCATTTTCTTTACGGCCTCTGTGACATCTTGTTTGAACCCAAAGACAGCTATGCAATTTAATTCACGTTTTTGGCGGATCGTTAGGCGTTTGACCAATTTCTTGCAGAGATCGTCCCAGTTTTTTGAACACATTAGGCTATTGTCGGAGGGGCCCACTGAAAGATTGCGATCGCTTATTAGCACGGTTTTTGTCTTTTCGCTCCCTTGCGTGGTTTCAGAAAGGGTCGTCCCAAGAAGGATGACTTTCTTGTTTTTTTCATCAACGTTAAAAGCACATCCTTGTAGTTCTTCAGTCATCTTTCTTTTCCCAACCTTTGTTTTCAAGATGTCTAAGATTTCTGGGGGCATGGCTATGGCATATTGGTCAATTTCGTCCAGGCGCTGTCTGAGATAAGGCATGACAGATGTCATGTGTCCTTTAGGCGTCTTTATTACAAGGTTTTTGTTGCTCAAGTCGATCTTCACTTGAAGATCTTCATGAAACTCTTTCTTCAAAATGTCTTCGATTCTGGCATTTAGTAGAAGTTGTAGTTTTTCACTAGTTATGTCAGTCAACGTCTTCTGCTCTAACTTTTTCTCAAGTTCTTCTTGTTTGGTGGCTTTTAACCGATCTGAGAGCTTTTCTGCAAAATCTGACATGTTAGATTCCTGGCAAATCAATTTAACTGTATGAGATTCCTTCAACAGCTTAACTTGAGCTGTGAACTTCGGAAGAATTCTTTCCATCTGTGGCAACCGATCGGCTACTACTTCCCAAATGTCGTCTTCGACTGGAAATTCTTTCGCAGCACAACTGTCAATAAAGTTGTCAATTATTTTTGAGCAGCCGTTTTTCCAAGTGTTCTCATCAAATTCCTTGTCGACCTTATTTCCCGGTACGTCGTGTTTCACGAGAACGTATCCTTCTTCATTTGTCCACCTTACGCGAGCGTGTTCGTCCGAATATAGTTGTCCTCTCAATTTTTCCTCTTGATTGGATTTCATTAGAAATTCCATGATGTCCTTGTCTACAGCTTTGTAAAATTGATACTGTCCACCCGCTTGGATGTCACCTGATGTAGGCCGCGATGGTCTTGTCGGTTGGTCAACTGGCACTACTGTTCCCATAAAAGGGTAGAAAGCCTCTACATGCAAAGGCTTACCATCAATGAATTGGTCGTTCTTGGTAGATTTCTTTACACCTGTAGGAAAAAGAACGTAAGTTATAGCACACTATTAAATTGTCGAAAAAAATCGGATACATCAGCAATTTTAATGTTTTAAATTGCCATGAGCACTTTCTTTAAAATATAACGTCAGAGCACAAAAAAGGGCAACCACGCAACTTACGTAAAAAATCGAATTATAATTAGTGTCGATCAGTTAATACAAAACCATGTAGAACGGCAAATATCTATATCCAGTCTTCTCGTTTACGACAAAAATAATTATCTTGAATATATTTTATCCTTTCTTTTGTTCTTAATTTAGCACCG